TGACTTCGACATCTTGGTCCAGTACCACCTCCTAGCCAGTGTCAGGTACGTCCGCTCCGATCCCGGATGTCCCCCGTAGTTGGAGTCGTGACACTCACTGATGACCACCTGCCTCAACTTCACATCGTTGGGCACTCCGATACGTGGACTATCGTCGGATGGAGTCTGGTACCACAGCAAACCGTTGTCTTCCGAATAGCAGCGATACTGTTTCTTCTGTTGTCGCCTGGCTTTCGCCTGCTGGCTATCTGCACGCCGCTGGATTGATGTAAAAATCGCGTTTGCTTCTCGATCTCTCTTGTACGCTTTTTTATCTTGGCTATCAACTCGCTGTCAGTGGTCACCTCGCTGACTGCTAAACTGAAGGACGCATCATTGAAGCTGGTCACACTCAAGTCATGAAAGTACTTCGTCTCCGGTTGCAAGTCTGGTCTTCGGCTAAGCGCGTCTGCGATTCCGTTCTTCGCACCTGAAAGGTATGAGAACGTTGGCTGATACTCCGCGAGGATATCGTACCAGCGCGCGAGACGACGGCTCGCCATCTTTTGAGTAAAGAGACCTTCAAGACTCTTGTGATCCGTTTCCACGATTGGTGGCTTGTCCAAGCAGTAAATACGGAAAGCTGCCAGCGCGTGAACAATTGCCAGAAGTTCTTGCTGCTGCGTCGGGTAATTGAGTTCCGCTGATTTCATCTTTCTACTGGTGTAAGCAATGGGTAGCTCAACACCATCGACAACCTGGAACAGGACTCCCCCGACTGCAAACTTGCTAGCATCCGTACGCAAATGCATAGGTTGATTGAAATCGGGCAAGTGCAACACTGGTGGATTGCACATCCGTTTCTTCAGCTCCTTGAAGTTCTTCGACTGCTCTTCGTCGAAACGAATCTTCGCATTGCTCTTGGACTTCTTCTTGAGCAAAGTAAACATACTTGCTGTCAGTTTCGCGTAGTCTGGGCAGAATCGTTGGACGTATCCAGTTAAGCCGAGGAAGCTGTGAAGCTCCTCTTGCGTTCTTCGAATTGGCCAGTCCTTGATGGTCTGCACCTTATCTGGATCCATCCGCACGCCGTTTCTCCCAACAAAATCTCCAAGGCATGGAATCTCGTCGGCACAGAAGACGCACTTGGACAGCTTCACGTATAACTTGTTGTCTCGCAAGATGTCCAATGTTTTGCGGAGAGCTTCCAAGTGATCTTCAATCTTCTGTGTCTTCGTGAAGATGTAGATGTCGTCGTAGAACGACTTCGTGTTCTCCAGATCGCGAAAGAGTTTCGACGTCAATCGATGCATCGTCGCTGGCGCGTTGCAGACTCCCATTGGCAGTACCAGGTACTCCCAGAGTCCGTTGGGCGCCTGGAATGCTGTGAACTTGATATCTTCGGCACGCATTCGAACTTGATAATACGCGGACATCAAGTCCATCGTTGAAAACCAGTACCATCCGGCCATGGCGTCCAGTATGTCTTCTTTCCTTGTCATCGGTATGCTCTGCCGTATCGTATTAGAGTTCAAGTACCGATAATCGTACACAATCCGCCACCCAACCGGTTTCCGGACGCAGAAGGTTGGCGCCGCGTGTGGGCTGATGCTTGGTCGGATAAGTTTCTTCTTCACCATGTCTATGACCCAGAGCACGATCTCACGTTGCTGCTCAGGTGACTGTCGCCACTGTTGCCAGTACATCGCAAGGTTGGGATCTTTCACGTCGATCCTGTGCTCGATTTCACGCTTCTCCGGAAGACCTTCAGGGAGTTCAGGTTGGAACACCGTGTCCTTGTACTTCGTCAGCAAGTCAAAGGCAGGGTTTGCCTGGAAACTTTGCCAGTCTGTCTCCAGATAACGTTGAGCTTTTGCAGCTCCGACATTGTCGGGTTGGTCTCGCCGCTCCAAGGATCAAGCGACGTTTTTGATCATTTCGTTCGTCAGAACCAACATGAAGTCTGGTTCTTCGATCGACTTGGTCTTGATTCTCAGGAACTTTCGCAGTTTCTTTTTCGTGATGAACTTGGTTTGTATACCAGCTTCATCTGTGATTCCCATCGTGAACATCTTTTCCACGACGGAATCTCTTCCCCTGGTATCGCTGCTCCCAGCAGCAGTACCGTCGCGTCTCGACGACTTCCTCTCGTCTTCGTCTGCTGAACCCTTGCCAGCTGACGCGTCTTCCAGTCGCTCACAAGCAACTCGTGGGGTCTCACTCTGCTCTGAGTCGTGAACGGGATTGACCGCGGACTTCACACCCGTTTCCAGCGCGGCACCTCGACAGGAATCGGGTCTTTTCGCCGACAGGCCTTTCGCCCCGACAGATCTCCGAAGCCCGGAGGCAATCACCGGTCCGCCTTCCTCGATTGGCCCACAGGTTTCACCCGCTCGCTCCCAGCGCAAAGTTCTCTCTATTGTTCCTTCGATTCGTCGACGTCTCCAGTCGATCTGTGGTTGCATGTCCTCAAAGAAAGGTATTCCAAGGATGCAGTCAAACTCTTCAGGTATCACGTAGACAACTGCGACGCATTCATACGCCTCGTCGATTCCGGCGACAAGGATACGTAGAGGTAGCACCTCTAGCTGGGCCTCCACAATCTGATTGTCTCCTAGCTTGACTCGAATGTTCTTGTCGCTAAACTTCGTTGTCTTCAGCTGGTGTTCTTCTACCCACCGCTTCGACACGTAGATCGTGGTTGCACCACAGTCTAGAAGCATTTTCGATGTTTTCTACATCTTGCCAGCCACACTGATTTCACCGCTGACGGCGAACAGTGGACGTTACTTGTAGACTAGAGGGTTTTCACACAGAACATTAAGGCTGACATTATCAAACTTAACTGCTCCGGTTACTTTCTCTTCCACGACAGGACCCTCTTTCACTGTCGTGGCTTCTCGTTTCCCTGCTTTTCTTGCTCCTTCTTCCACGCAAAGCAGTTGGCTTTGATGTGGCCAGGTTTGTTGCAGAAGTGGCAGGTACGAGTCTCCTTGCTCTTCAAATTCGAGCTCGGCTTAAACCGTCCCTTTCCTCGGAATGGTTTTCCTTTGAACGTTTTCTTGTTGTCTTGAGGTTGCTCAGTAGAGGTCTTCGTCTTCTCATGACGAACCTTGCGCTCACTAGCGTCCCTTACAAAGTGAGTCACCTCAAACTTGACAGCTAAGTCCATGGCGTTCCTCAGTGTCTCAGGATTCTCGAGCTTCACGTAGCTTCGCGTGCGAGGCTTGAGACCGTTTGCGTAGAACAGGACTTGGTCAAGCACGCTCATGCCTTCGACTCGAAAGATGAGGGCTGAGTATTCACCGTTGTACGTCTCGATATCCGCTGTCTGCTTCAGACGCTGGAGCTTATCTCGTAGCACTGACTGGTAGTTCGACGCCTCGAAGTGTTGGAGCACATGCTCACGGAAAATCCCCCGCGTGTGCTCTTCCACTCGCGTCGTCGAAGCCCAGTGCAGGAACCACCCCGAAGCCGGTTTCTCCATCGCCGACCCGGCGATTCCTGGTATTCGTGGGTTCGCGTAGTCGATTGCGATTCCGTTAATGCGGCAGGCGTTCTCGACCTTGAACAGCCATTCGCGCACGTCTTCCCCCCTCTTGCCGGTGAACTTGGGCAGGTTGCTGGGCACTCGTGTGCGTTCCGCCATCGCTTGATTCAGCCGGTCGATCTCGGCTTGAAGCTGCGCGTTCGTCGGCATGGGCTCTTTGTTGTCAGGTTGCTGGGACCAACAAGTGCTACCAGTTTATCGAAGTCAGGGGAGCTTGGGGGAGAGCGCGCCAAAAGAAAAGTGCCGTTCCCGCAGTTCAGACGGATGGAAGCTTCTAGAAGCTTCCACAGCCGTCCTACATCTGCCTGTTTATTAATTACAATACTATTAATATACATTCCATAGTACTACTAACAACCCATTACAATAAGATAATAATATCACCCAATCGAATACAATATCTTTCATGTCGATTGAGTCCATCACAGTCTCGATGGTCGCCATGTCGTCGCTCACCACACGTCCGTTTTCCAGGCGCACCATGAAGAACAACTTGTATCTCCCGGACTGACGTAGTGCCCGCGTGATAGCTACTGCCGCTTGCTCTTTAATCTCTCGGTCGGCGAGGCCCGGAGTGTCCATGTACACTGTGGCATGGTGCGTGAGCTTGTGGAACAACTGAGTCATGCCAGCTCCATAGCTCAAGCCCGAGTCGAATTCATGATGTCCAATGAGGCAGTTGATGAGCGTACTCTTGCCAGTCCCAGGGTTGCCGAGAAACAGGTAGTTTTCCTTCATTGATGACCTCGCAAGGGGCCAGCGCCGTGTCGCCAAGGATGCGAAATGCAAAGTGAATGAAGCATAAGAAGAGCCGTGAGGTGAGTTAATACAGCACGGTGAAGCGTCTCCATTGAACATTAGCGAGATCCTCGCGAGCTCTGTTGTTCGGAGACCAATCTGCTGAAAAATTCGATGGTCTCTCCGAAAATTATATCTGCACAAACATTTAGCAAGTTTTGCTCCTCTCCGTTGGGCTATTCCTCGACAATATTTCTTTAAAAACAGCACTTTGAGTGGCTTAACATTCTGTATTGGTCTTTTCCGGTTGAATACTGCTTAGAAAATGAAATTATATTATTTCGTAATTAGTGGCTGTCAACCAACAAGCTTAAAATACTTGTGGTGTAAATGTGAGGAACGAAATCCAAGAGTGGAGCACAAATCAAGTTCATGAACGTTCAAGAGCCTCTACTGTATTATGAACACTGTGTCAATGTCTTTCAGCTGATATTTATCAGAAAATACAATAGAGATCGTTGCACTACCAGGATCATAAGTGATATTTATCAGAAGACCTTACCGTCAGCGTTTCTCACGCAAGTTGCAGGTACTACTACGTAGTAGTTGCATGACGCAACTTGATTCCACGAGATCCTTGTAGGAAGAAATTTTGGGGATAGGAATCCTACACCCAAAGTTTTTTTTGCCACGCTCGTGTTTCGTGTGATTCAACATGCCTCATTCTTCATCCATGGACCCGCCTTCAAACCCCGTAAACAGTGACTTGGTTGCTGGGTCAGCAGAGTCTCCACCTCTGAACTACCTCTTCTTGGGCAACCCCGGAACGGGGAAGAGCACGCTGATCAATTGCCTAGTCGGAACCGCACTTTTCAACTCGGGATTGAGCTACGGAGGAGGACTGACCAAGGCGTTCCAGACACGCCTTCATGGCAATGTCCAATACATGGATACACCTGGTCTGGCCGACCGTAACATTCAACAAAAGGCCGCGGCAGCCATCACCGAAGCTCTCCAACAATCCGGAACCTACAAACTCTTCTTCATGGTGCGCCTCGAAAACGGTCGCGTCGTCAGTGATGACCTCGCAACCATTGAAATTGTGGTCAGATCCATCCAGCTGGACGAAATCCCGTTCACCGTCGTCGTCAACAATGTGAAGAAACGTCAATACAATAAGATGATGGAGAAGGGGGATGACTATTTCAAAGTCGTCGCTCTAATTAACTCCGTCGAATGCAAGCCGCAGCGCATCGTATTCATTCCGGTGATCGACAATCTAGACGAACAGGACAACGCCGTGACACAACTTCCCGCTGACGTCCAGACGTTTATTCGAACCGAAGCTGCAACTGTTCAAATTGCTCCCAGCGACGTCACGCCAATCAAGATTGAGGACTTCAAGAACGTGTCGGAAAGACTTCGCGCCGAGCAGGAGGAATTGTTAAACAACAACGCACTGCTACGGCGTAGGATTGCCGAGCTGATGGAAAGGTCCAGCACTACTCAGTGTCTTTGGAGATCAGTGGGAAAGTTTTTGTCTCCTGTGACCGAACGCTTCGCGAATTTGGTACACTCTTCTCGTCATTCGGACCCTAGTAGCAACGCTAGTAGGCACGTTAACAATAAGAAGGCGAAGAACGGGTCAGCAAGTGCTACGCCTAAAGACAGTAAGGACCAGGTTGTAACAAACACCTTATAAATTAAAGTTTGGTTTGGTTTTATGCCAATCTGGTGTTTTGATTAAACGTCAAAACTCATTCACGCAGCCGATACAATTAAGAGCGTTACGGTCATATCGGATAGCTTCGTCTTCAATAGGGAACTTGTAGTCATACGTCACCTCGCCCCCCACTGCAATCGCTCTCTTGGCAAATACTACCTCCGCTCGTCTTTTTCATGATTATAAAGTTTGCGGAGGTCTGCTAATCCTTAGTGCTTGGTCCGGCAGCTGCTTGAAGAATTGCATCGCGGAGTTCGCCGCTACAAAATACGCGGATTTGGGTCTTCAAGCTGTAAATTAAGGGCTCTGGTAGTGACGAAATAGGCCTGGGAGGCTGTAAAACAGGTGCATGCCCACTGGGTACTGTGGCACAGTACCCAGTGGCTATAAACAGCTAAGGTGGAGGCCAGGCTGTTTTGCCCCCCTAGAGGGGCGACAGATACTTCTCGAAACCCTTCCGCTTGTGAGGGCAACGGAGACGTCTCTCTCCCGTTCTATAGGTAGAATACGGAAAAGGTCGAGAAGGGGAAGAAGGCGTGGCGACCAGGCTGAACGGATCCCCCAGCTGGGAAGGGGGGGTGAGTGGCGAGGGGAGCCCGGCCGTTGGGGAGAAGAGGAGGGGGGAGAACCGATCGCACCGAGAGAGGGGAAGAAGGGGGGGGGGGAGGGGCCGAGGGCAGGCGGTGAAAGGTAACC